TTCGGCGCCGGCGCCATCGGCCTCCTGCTGGCCGCCGCGCTCGCCACGTCGCAGAACTTCACGTCCATCGTGATTGCAGACATCGACGCCGCCCGGCTCGAGGTGGCCAAGTCGCTGGACCTGGGGCTGAAGACCACCCTTCTCCCGCGGTCGTCCAACCCGCCGCCGCCGCCCAAGGACGCGCCGCATTCGGAGCAAATCGCGCACGCGCTGCAGTCGGCGCAGACGGTCGCCAACACCCTGAAGGAGACGCACGGCATCCCGAACGGCTTCAGCCGGGTCTACGACTGCACGGGGGTGCCGGCGTGCGTGCAGGCAGGCATCTACGCCTCGGCACCGGGCGGCGTCCTCGTGCAAATCGGCATGGGCACGCCCGTGCAGACGCTGCCCCTGGGCGCCGCCGCCCTGCGCGAGGTGGACCTCGTCGGTGTATTCCGGTACGACGGGCACGCGTACCCGGCGGCCATCAACCTCCTAACCAGCGAGACCTTCAAGCGGGTGGAGGAGAAGGTGGTGACGCACCGCGTGAAGCTGGCAGAGGAGGGGCAGGGCGAGAGGGCCTTTGCCCTGGCAGGGAAGGGGGTGGATGAGAATGGGGTTCCGGTTGTGAAGGTGATAATTGAGGGGTAGAACCTCATTACCTTGCATTTAAAAAAAAATATTTCATACCATTAGAAAATACGAGCCATTATATTGATATGATACGATAAAATAATCATTGATGATGGCACAGTACATATCAGTACATATGTAGAATACATACAGATACAGATAGTCATAGCAGCACTAGCATCATCGAGAGAGATCAATCACATCGTCAACCACCTCCGTAGTAGTAATTAATATATTCCGAGAGTATGTATATGCATAGACAGACGATATCAGAAATATACACATGAAAACAAAAAAAAACCAGCATGCAATGCAATGCACTACCCACAGTCCACAAGGCTGTGTCTGTAGACAACAGAACAAAACAGAACAACAGCATACGTATACACGTGCACTAATAACATACTCCCTTCCTCGTCTTATTTATTTATGTCAACTATTTTAACCCCCCCGCCAACAACAAACTCTGCCCCGTCATATACCCCGTCCGCACGAGCATGGTCACCACATTGGCCACCTCGTCCGGCGTCCCCAGCCTTCCGAGCGGGATGGACGCCGCTACCTCGGGGATCGCGCTCGCGCCGGGGATCATGCCCGTGTCGCCGATCATGGCCGGGGCGACGTCGTTGACGCTGATGTTGAACTCGGCCAGGCGGGTGGAGAGATTGCGCATCATGCCGGTTAGGCCGCCTTTGGAGGCTGCGTAGTCTGTGGATTTACATAACACATGTTAGATTTTTTTTCTTTCTTTTTCCCTTTTTATTTTTTTTGGGACTGGGAGGGTGCTTACGACATCCGTTAATCCCTCCACCATACCCCGCAATCGACGACATGAACACGATCCGTCCCCATCGTTGCGCCTTCATGTGCTCGACTACCCCCTTGACGAGGATAAACGACGCGCGGAGGTTGACGGTGATGGTGTAATCGAACTCCTCCAGGCTGATGTCCCACACGTTGGGGACGCGCTTGCCGTACCCCGCGTTCGAGACCAGGATGTCCGGTCGCTGCCCGTGTTGCGCGTCGATCTCGGTGAACATCTTCTCGATCTGCTCGGCGGAAGAGACGTCCACCTGGTGGATCGAGATGCGCAGGTCCGGATGCGCGGGTTTCAGTTCGTCGTTGACGAGCGCTGTGATGGAGGCCAGATTGCTCGAGTATGTCAACGCCAGATGGACCCCATGTTGGGCGAGCTGTCGAGCGCAGGCAGAGCCGATTCTGAATGAGTTCCCCATTCATATATAAGCATAATCTGATCCATTGTCTGACTGATGGCAACAATCGACGCTGCTTACCCTCCCGATGCTCCGGTGATCAAAGCCA